GAATTTAAAAATAGAATGGATGCTGTTTTGGAACATACACCTACAATGAGACAACTGTCTATTCTAAGACATGCAAATGCACAAACTTGGTCGTTGAAGAAAATGTCTTGACTTCCAAATGTTATCAGTGTATGAGTCTCTTCCAATACAAATCTTTTGCATCAACTTTAATGATTACCAGTGATGCGTTTATCACGTTCAATATATTCTTTCTCATTTTGTACACGGCAGTACTCTTCCTTTTGACGGTACCATTCTTCGTGACTTGCATTAAGAAGACGGATGTCTACAAAGATATCTGAAAACCTTTTACTATTATTTATAGTTTTTTAAATAACAATTTGATGCTATAATAATCTATAACTTTATTATTAAAAATTAAATAATGAATGTCATATCGACTTGACGACAAAACGCCTCTTTGTTTTCCCACTTTCTCATTTTTCATTCCTCATACTATTATAAATACTATATGTATAATAAAATAAACTATTTTGTGTCGCATCTTTTTTTATTTTCCTCAAACCGTCATATTGTCCTCTTTAAAATTGCAATCTCACCTAAATACAAAAAATAAACTATAAATTAATTATTGTATATAGTATATTAATTTTTCTTTGGGAGTGCTTCTCAAAAGAGATCCACAATTGCCGAATATTTGTTGATAAAAAGAACTTCAAAAATCCAATTGCAATGGGTTCAAACAGTTCTGCTCCTGCTTCAAAACCGGCCGCACAAAATAAAAAGACGGCCACAAGTTCAAAAATGATTCCAGACCAGTACCACTCAATGGAAGAACTTCAACAAGGTCTGCGTACTGCTGGTCTTGAGTCATCCAACCTCATAGTTGGAGTTGATTTTACTAAAAGCAATACATGGACGGGTAAAGTCTCTTTTGGTGGGCAATGCTTACACTCCATTAATCCACAAGTCCCCGTCTTTAATCCATATCAAAGAGTCATTGACTCGATTGGGAGAGCACTTGAGCCATTTGATGATGATCGACTCATTCCAGCTTATGGCTTTGGCGATTCGCGAACAACCAACAAGGCCGTCTTTGGCTTTAAAGCAAATGAAGAGCCGTGCAACGGTGTCATCGAAT